TAGTGCAGATAGCCCTCGTGTAGCTTTGCGCGAAATTCCAAAACAAACAAACAAACTTTTTTGTTATGTAGATGTGTGGCACTATTAAGGATATAGTTGTTTTCATAAATAATTACTAGAGAACCTATTTGAGGTTATTAACTTTGGTAAATAACAAATAGTAAAAAAGTATATACCATGTAATATACCCGAGTTACAAAGAACACCAAATATTATGTTTGTTTTTATCTCCAAATGATGATGTAAATGATATTCTGCTTCAAAGTATTCTGAAGCAGAGTAGTACATATTGTAATGTTCATACATGATTTTACACATTAAATAAATGAGAGTATGTTTTATAAACACGTGTTCTGTTTGAACACATGGAAGATGTTAACTAGTAACTTCACTCTAGTAATCTCTACTTGGGACATTTATACTCCATCATCGTATACAAGATACTGCTTGCTACCTGCTGAGAGATACAGCTCAAATTTTGTTACACATAGACTTGCTAATAATTTCTCTAAATGTAGTTTTTAACCTAATTAAAATTTTATTTTTAATCAAATGTTCCATTTTGACTTGTGTGTGTGTGAATCTTTTTTCAACTATGAATTGAACAGAATAATATCGTAAGATAATTAACCAAAGATACTTCTGCTATAATATTGTTTTCAACTTGCAGTACAGAGTCATTCTGTGTGACTAGGATGGCTATGGTTATTTTTAACTGATATACTTGTAACTGTGAATATATATCCAGAGAGTGTTGTGTACAATAACAGTATTAAGTCTACCAGTGTGATCTAATAGAACTGTTATTACATTAATCCCTCCCCAATTGTTTATCAGTAAACTTGGTGGCTTATAAGTTTGAGGTTTGATAACCTTGGAGTGCACAGTGCATATAATGCTAAAGTTTGAGGTTTGATAACCTTGGAGTGCACAGTGCATATAATGCTAAAGTTTGAGGTTTCATAACCTTGGAGGGTGCAGTGCATATAATGCTAAAGTTTGAGGTGTGATAACCTTGGAGGGCACAGTGCATATAATGCTAAAGTTTGAGGTTTGATAACCTTGGAGTGCACAGTGCATATAATGCTAAAGTTTGAGGTTTCATAACCTTGGAGGGTGCAGTGCATATAATGCTAAAGTTTGAGGTGTGATAACCTTGGAGGGCACAGTGCATATAATGCTAAAGTTTGAGGTGTGATAACCTTGGAGTGCACAGTGCATATAATGCTAAAGTTTGAGGTTTGATAACCTTGGAGGGTGCAGTGCATATAATGCTAAAGTTTGAGGTGTGATAACCTTGGAGGGTGCAGTGCATATAATGCTAAAGTTTGAGGTTTGATAACCTTTAAGGGTGCAGTGCATATAATGCTAAAGTTTGAGGTGTGATAACCTTGGAGGGTGCAGTGCATATAATGCTAAAGTTTGAGGTTTCATAACCTTGGAGGGTGCAGTGCATATAATGCTAAAGTTTGAGGTGTGATAACCTTGGAGGGTGCAGTGCATATAATGCTAAAGTTTGAGGTTTGATAACCTTGGAGGGCACAGTGCATATAATGCTAAAGTTTGAGGTTTCATAACCTTGGAAGGGTGCAGTGCATATGATGCTAAAG